CCCCCCACCGCCAAGCCTCCTCTGAAATTCTAATTCCTCCTTCCCTCCGTGTCTCTGAATCCCGACGAAAGTAATTTGCGAAAGGTCCGTGGCAAATGCGCCAAAAGCCACAGATGGGAAGCGTGTTGGGGGGGGGGGGCCTGTAATCTTTCCGCAAAGCCCTCCTTGGAGAAGAGCCAGTATCTGGGGGGGGGGGGGGGGGCATAACCCTAAGGCATCTGGGGGAAGAGCAAGCAGTGGTCCGGACAGCCGTGCGTTTGTTTTGGCAGAAGGAGTTGACGTTTTCTCCACATGACGCTGACCTTCGCGTGCGCGCTGCGTAATAAGAGTGACTTCGGTGTGCGCGTGTGAAGGATCGAGGTGGTGCCTGCCGATTAGGTGTGTGCGTGGGTACGTGCGTGGGTACGTCCGCGTGTGTGTGCGCGCGTGTGGTTGTGTGTGTGTGTGTGAAAGTCGTGGGGAGCGGGTGTGTGGCGGTTAGCGCTACGCTGCGCTACGAACCAGGCGACCCCGAATTCGATTCCTGCTCATGGCCAACGCCAGTGACGATTACCTGAACAGGTGCTGGGGCTCCCCGAGGTAGACTCAGCCTCAAATGAGTACTTGGCGTGGTGTGTATACATCGCCAGCAGGGAGACAAAGGCGGCCGGTCATAGTGCAGGCCACCCTCCCCCTCGTGTGCCGTGCCGGTCTTTATAGGTTCTCGCTGACAGCACTTGCTCCAACAGTCTGTTAAGGCTACACGGGGGGATCTTTGTCTTTGCTTCGTGGGTGAAAGCAACAGGAAAGATTTGGTTTGCTGCATATTCTACAGTGCTTTTTAGACAGCACCGCGAGTATTCTGCTATACAATCAAACACACTGGCCAGGGTAAATGGCTGCCCGGTTAGTATTTGTCAATGGTTTATTAATATTAATACGGCACTCAAGTCATTGCGTTTTGTGTGTAGTTCTCCCCTTGTCTGACATTGCGAGATGGTCCTCTTCCCATGATAGGTCTTGTTTGTTATTTTTTTGATAGCTCAGAGATGGCGACGCTATGAGAGTGCTCGACTCGCGAGCGGAAGGTCCACGAGTTCAAATCCAGGTCCTCCGAGGGACCGACTCTCGCCCCATTATCTCCACCCCCTGTGAGGTCGATATAAGGGGGGTTCCGGACCATTCGTGTGGGGCAGTCAACAGTGGTCTGTCTGAAAAGAAACGAACGACTCAACATTTGTGTCTGTCTTATTAGTTTATATACAGCTGTTTTTTTTTCAGAAGTCACCGAGCCACAAATGACATCTGAACGAAGTGGCTTATCATCACGTGGGAAGTTACAGCAGCCAAACGCTCTTAATGTGGATGGAAAAACCCGGTGGAGGCGGAGTAAAATCCACGCGACCGTGGGGAGAGCGAGAGAGAGAGAGAAAGAGAAATGCAAGCTCCAAATATACAGCAGCAGGCGTCAGAGTCGGGATCGAACCCACGGCCTCCTGTATACCAGGCGAGGCAGTTAACATCTCACCACCATTGAAATGTGGAATTTCTACCACTGGTTCCGAGATACTGATGGAGAAAATAATCACCGTGCCAATATTTGTTTGAACAGGAAGATGCTTTTGCACTTTGAATAGTTGTATTTTATTATTGTTTTTTTGATACGTGACCGTTTGCAACAATCGAGCGCGGTTCTAAACCCTCCCCACCTTTATAGCGGGAGGCCTTTCTGCCAGCAGTGAAAGGAGCAAGGAATTGCAGGGCTGCACCTTTACCCACTTCGGTGCATAGCGCAGTTCACAATATCGATATAATGATTAAGAATTAAATACATTTTTATCTCGTTTTTTACCTAATCGTTTGCACAGTTTTGCTATTTCAGTACCCTAAGTGTAACATGAGCATATAATTTGCACTCGTTCTAAGTAAATCGATTCTCATATACAATCTCTACGCACGTATTGTGAGTGGTAAGGGTCCATTTAAAAAATCGGCATAGTTGGCACGTCCTGCTAAATGATATCCGTATTCCAAGCGTAGTACGGTGAAGTTCAAAAACGTGAAAAGTGTTAAACACAAGTCCGATAGGAGTTGTGGAGAAAAACTAAATTTAATTAAAAAAACGCATTCAATGGCATGATCAGTGTGCTGAAAACGTAAAAAAAATACTCCCTTGCATGGACATGGGAATGAGGTATTAGCATGCTAACAAGAAGAAATCCCCCAGTTGTAGATATTCAAAACATAACTCACGAACACCTTCAATCATATCCCATTTAGAGGCTCTAAGAACCAGTGCTTCTTGAATGTATGTTAACTGTAAATCAGAAAATATTTGTTAAGCAAATAAATTATTTGCATGGCCCATGGTATGTAAAGTGCTCTCTCCAACTCATTTCCATTCTCTGGCCTCACTGTGTGCGCTGAAGAAGGGTCATTGCCCGAAACGTTGCCTATTTACTGTTTATATATTTGATTTCCTTTACATGCCACCCACGGCGCTATTGACGAGTGTGAGTTATTTTGTTCGCCATGCTTTGTGCACCACTGCCAACACACCATCACCACCAAATATTTCTACTTCTGTTTGGTAAGGTGCCCCTCCCACCAATTCGTGATGGGACCTCCCCCCGCCCACCCTCCACCATCCTGGTCTCGTTTAAGACCATCGCTTTGTTGGCGGCACCAAAGCAATCCACCGGCTTAGAAACACCGGTGCCGTCACGGGACTGGCTGGAAGAACGACCCAGGCGTCAGTTTTCTAAACATTTGTTGCCGTTCCGAAAACCCAGTTGGAGTCTCTGTGGCAGCACGGCTGTCAAGAGGAGGAGCCGGTCAATGGCGAAAAAGCCTTGGGGACAATTTTGTTTTGCGTCCGTGTTGTTCGTGACGACGACGGTGAGCGAGTTTCCCGGTTCGGGGGTCGACTCGCCCCATTATCTTCACCCCTTTGGCTGGGTCGATAAAAGGGGGGGACTGGTACCATTGGGTGTGGGGCAGTCAACAACAGTGGGTCAGCCTGTGGAGAAACTGAAGGCCTGACATGCGAAAACAGTGCCATTGCATTGCGGAAGAACCCAGGCATCTGGGCGTGACATTTATTGCCGTTCTCAAAAGCAGTTGAAGTCTTTACAGCACGGCTGTGCGAGGAGGTGGTGTACAATTTTTAAATCTCGATTGAACACTCATTTCTTGAGAACGGCTTTACGTGTTTCGTTTGTTGTCCTTCCCCCGCACCTCTGACTAAGCACGGCTGGCTGTGTACGGTACTCGCATAGAGCAAGGAGAAAAGCCTGGGGGACAATCTTTTGATCCGTGTATTGGTGACGACGACGTAGTGAGTCGACCCGTGAGTGGGGTTTTAAGCCCTGCGACCGTCTGACCGCGAGTCGTCCGCTCAAAGTGCCGCACGCTGTACGTACGTACATTTAACTTCTATCGCACAATGTGGAGCCAACCATGCTGATCGGAGGTGCGAGGGAAGGCCAACAAACTTAACTCAAAAATCAGTTCGAAAGAAATGAGTATTCATCTAGATTTTGAAAGTGCATTGTTCAAGTGGCTTCTTAATATCGGAAGGAAGAGCGTTGCAGACGGCCGCAGAAGTGCATTTGAAAGCGTGCGATGACCGTCTTTGTTCGATGGTTAGCCAAAAGCCTCTGCGAGGATGACTGGAGTTTGCATGATTGTTCACGCTCCTTGACGTGATCAGCGAGGTATTGAGGTTTACTTGTGGCGGGCACTTTGTGTGTAATGAGTGCAACCTTATAACGCATTCGTTCGGCAACTGGAAGCCAATGCAGCTCTGCGAGCACTGGACGGACATAGTCTGATCCTGCAGTACCCATCGCGACGCGTGCCAGGGAATGTTGTCCATGCTGTGGCTTGGAAATGTTTTTGCCAGGAGTCCCGTAGGGTAGCGAGTTGCAATAACCAAGCCCTGTCAATACTGTGCTGCACGCCCAACCGTCTTGGCTATGCCATGACTCGATAGTGGTTAAATGTGTCACAGAGCCCTGATATGAAAATTTCAGAGCCTGACAATATACCAGGTAAGGCCCACTGAGCTTTATAACTCTTTTTTTCAGAAGTGGACCTGGACAGAAATGATAGCACAATGAAGCAGATTATCAGGTGTACATGCACAGCGGCCAAATACTCTTGAACGCGTGACGTTGATTCTTAATGTGGAGGGCAAAATCGGAGGACTCCAGAGAAAAATCCCCACGACCACGGGGGAGAATACGCAAACCCCAAATATACAGGTGTCTGGGTCGGCGAGGGCTTTAGCCGAAATGTGTGCACGGAGAAGGGCGTCAGCTGTGGGCCAAGCCGTTGTCAGTTTGTGTGCGGTGCGACATCGTGCGTCGCTCCGTGCCCTGCCAAATGGTCAGCTGGCAAAAAAAAAATGCGTGTACAGTGCGTGGCAATCTGGTGTGCAGAATGCGTGGCTTAGAGAGGCTTTGAATTAATAAGGGGCACACGCACATGATGTGGACACTGTGTGCTGTGCTGCGGCAACGTGTACTCGCGTTAACGCGAAATTTAAAATCCGAATAATTGCATTTGCTTCTCTGAATATACGCGCGGAGTCACAGACGGGGGGCTGATATGTCCGTACGATTTTTTTCTGCGCAACTGTGCGTGTGTGCGTGTGTGTTCATGAGAGTGGTAGTGGAGTGGTTGGCATACTACGCTACAAACCCGGCGATCCAACTTCGATTCCTTCTCACGACCAATAACGGTGGCGAATATTTGATCGGGTGCTGGGCCTCCCCTAGGTCGATTCGGCCTGAAATGAGCACCTGGTGCGGTGTGTAAAACATCAGCATTTCTCTGGGTGCTCCGATTTTGTTGGAACCAGATCATGGCTGGTCACCACTGACTCGTTCTTTCTCTCTACGAGAGCGAGTGAATGCTGTGCCATGGTTGACTTACAAGATTACATTATTATTACTGCTACTACTACTGCCGTTAATGGGGACACATTGATCTTGGTGTGTGTGTGTGCGCATCCACAGATCTCTGGGCACCTTGCACCAGTTTTGCTGCCCGGTGCCACCCAAAGCTGCCGTCCTCACAAACTCTCCCATGCGTTGCAGGTAAAAAAAACACGCGCGCACGCACACACTCACATGCATGCGCATACGTACATACGCATAGCATGCACACAGACACAACGACACGCGCGCATAAAATACACATAAGCACACAAACGCACCCTAGACGCACGGAGACAACCAGGGTAACAATAGCTGCCATTCGCTGATAAGTTGCGGTGATATCACGACCACGATCGTGCCAGGCTAGCTGCACCTTGAGGCCACTGGACGTGTCGAAGGCACGATAGCACCACGTCCCGGGACAGACCCCGGCCGTCGTGGGCCACTCGCCCCCGAGAGGACGCAACGAGTTTGTCGCATTGCGGAGCACAGGGTCAACAGCCGGTGCCGGTCGTGGCAATTCCACATTGCCGTGGTGGGAGGGGGGGGGGCAGTCAGTCCATCTGTGTGAATCGTTGTTGATTTTCGACAAAGTCGGTGCTAATTTTAGCCGCCCTTGAGTGATTACGCTGATGGGTTGAGTCGAGCCCTACATCTAAACTCACAACTTCTTGATTGTGAGCTGAGCACTCGCACAGCAGGCAGCAATGCCTTAGTCTTTGCATACCTCTTTATATTACACGCAAGCCCGGAGCAGTGGCGCAATTGTGGTTAATGTCATGGTGCTGTGACACCACCTAACCAGCAACTGGAGTTCAATTTCCCTGTCACAGCTAACATCGGTGGCACGTGATGAACCCGAACCTGTTACCATCCCGCGTTGTGAAGCACACAACCACCTCCACTCCGACTCCCAACTTCCACATCCCTCTCCATCCACGCCCCACCACCTCCCCCCACCACCACCACCTCTTCGACGTCCCCAAACATCAACGCCCCCGTGACTAGCACGCACTGCCAAGGCCTTCTGCAGTGCGTGGGTTGATTGACAGATGGGTTTCAAAAGTTGCCTTGATGATGGTGGCGTGTTGGCGTGCGCAGCCGCCGAGATCGCTCACGTCGCATTGGAGGGGAAGAAATAGATTTCGTCAACTGTGTGGATTTGGGCGCCGTGATACCTGGGGTTTCTTTCACGGACGGCGCCTGCGATTTAAGACCTTGTCGCATGGATGGCTGGCCAGAGGGCTTGCGGAATAAAAGGGCTTCTTGCGTATAAAGATTTTATTTTTTTATTTCCCCCAACGCCTCGAAACTTTCCCCCCGTATTTTTTTCAAACCCCGAAGGGCAAACGTGTGTTGGCGCGCACCGATTCCGTGTTGGTCGTGTCACGAGGGTGGGACATTGTGTTATCGGAGCGGTAGTGGTGAGCGCGCCGCGCTAGGAACCCCGTGAACCGAGCACGATTCCCGCTCGCCGCCAACACCAGTGATGATTATCTGAACCAGTTCTGGGCCTCCCCTAGGTCGACTCAGCCTCACATGAGTACCTGGTGCGGTGTGTAAAAACATCGCCACTGGGGAGACAAAGGCGGCCGGGCGTGCAACTGGCCACCCCCCCACCCCCTTGTTTGCCGTTCGGGCCTTCATAGGCGCTTGCTCGCTAATAGCTCTTACCCAAACAGCCTGTTCAGGCTATACGGGAGATTCTTGTTTTTTGTGCAATAAAAGGTTGATTGTGAGGCCCAGCAATATTTCTCCACGCGTTGTGAATTCTGCTCGTTACTGAGAATCCGTGACCTTCCTCGTGATGCCACCGCACTATCCGTGGCACGGCTGGCTTTCCCGTTCACGCTCCGCTCGCTCTTGCGGTCTCGTCACCGCCGTTTCTGGCTTCAGGTCTTCCCTTCTCCTTGGCCACTGAACTCTGGGTGCCACTCCAGTGCCTGTCTCCGTAACCTTCCCTCACTCCTCCTCCTCCTCACTCCTCCCTCTCCAGCCTGCACACACGTGTCCAACCCGCCGCGAACTCCTCTGCCCGATTTGCATCGACAGCGCTTTCCTGCCACGTGGTGGCAATGCTCCCCTGGAGTCCAGCACATTGTGGAGCACAAATGATGAACCCATGACACCTCGCATGGGCCATCATCGCGCAAACGCCGCTCCTTCTCGCAGCAGTAGCAGCAGTAGCAGCAGCAGTAGCAGCAGCAGTAGCAGCAGTAGCAGCAGCAGTAGCAGCAGTAGCAGCAGTAGCAGCAGCAGCAGTAGCAGCAGTAGCAGCAGTAGCAGCAGTAGCAGCAGTAGCAGCAGCAGCAGCAGTAGCAGTGGCTTTTGGGGCTCACCATCGAACAAAGACAGCCACACTGGTTGCGCTTCTGCAGCCGTCTGGAACGTTCTTCCTTCCAATGTTAGGAAGCCACTGGAGCTATGTGCTTTCAAAATCTCGGTTGACAACTCATTTCTTTGGAACTGCTTGTTTGCGTTCAGTTCGTCCTTCCCCTGTAACTCATGGTTGGCTACGTACGGTGCAAAAGAAGTTCAAAATGCATTCATACTTTTTAACCCGTAGGCTTTCGCGACCAATATTATTCATATTAGAGGTTTTTGGGTTAGATCGCGTGAATACGAATGTGTCCAAACCCTCCACCACCCGACACGGACAATCGGTAAGGGATTTGTCACGTGAACAAAACGCCAAATAGTTACTACTTCAGCCCACAGGTGTGTTGGAGAGTAAATCCACAACATTTACAATTTGAGTAGTACGACGTTTCGCTGGTAATTACAACAACCAGCATCATCGGGCAATTTGCCAGAATAGTGAAGCAATCCACCTGCTTCCGGTCTTAAATCGTGGTGCGGTCGGTGGATCGTGCTCGGTTGGTAAACTGAGTTAGGCAGTACAGCAACTAGGTTAGGATTCTTTGAGCGTTATCCTTCTTGATTGCGACGGGCGATTTTCCCTCCGGGCGCCCCCACACGCAATAAAAAACCTACCGAACGAGAACTTGGCCTAACATTCCCAAGCCCGTCGTTTGTATCACCGATAGTCTGCGTGTTTTGCTTTAGTATATTTGTATTGCTATTTCACCAGGTGGGTCCTGCAATTGCCAATTAGCAATCTCACAAAGCGCACATCGAACAGCACGTTTTAGGAATCGATACACTCCGATTCATGAGGGCGTCGCTCGACCCTTGACCCCGTGGTCACTGGCGGCTGCTACGTTTGCCACATTGTGAAGAAGAAAATGCTTCTTTGAACAGAAATCGCGGCCCTCGGTGGTAAAAATTCGTCGATCCACTGGGAGAGAGCAGTCGTGAATCATCACAGTTTTTTTTTGCCATCTCGTGTGCATCGTTTATTTTCATTTGACAACGCTTTGTTCCGTTAGCAATCGCGTAACATTAACACGGATGTACATTGAACTTCTTTCACACCGTACGTGGTGAACAGCGCTAATGGAAGGCGCTTATTTGCGAGCAATTTGCATATGTCGTTGTAAACGGTTCTTACAACTCGCGATCCGATTCGTGTAATGGGAGGCATAACAAAAATACATTTTAATGGACAAATTGACTTTCACCGCATGACTGTTGACTTGCCTGTGGAATGGCACTAATTTTTCACTCGCCCTCTCCAGGATGATGGCCTAAAATGTGCCTGTGAGCTTACATCTTTTTTTCTCTCTCTCCCAAATGCATGGGGAGTACATTCATGGATTTATAGAGGTGGAATGTAACTGTGGGACAATGCTAATGACACCGTGAAACGTTATTTATAGCTCCGTTGCTCATACGAAATTTCCCGTAAAACCATGCGGGGAGCTGGTAGGGGGTGGAGGTGGGGGTGGAGGCACATCTCCTCTCCCTCTACGAGATGCAGACACCCACGCAGTCAAGCAAAGAGCGGCATCCTTGTAACCAAACGTATGAGACATTAATAGAATGTGCCCACCAATAAAGGTATCCGACGCGGCGTTAACCGTGCATCTGCCGAAGGCGGTCGCGCGTTTTTGAGGAGTGGAGCATTTTATGCACGGCGATGCCAGATAAAAAGATAGATTGCCTCATAATTGCAGCCGACGCGAGAGTTCCGAGCGAGATTTTGTTAAGTCTCGCGCCTGCCAGGTGGTGGTGGCCAAAGTGGCTGAGAGGTCAGAGACGTTGAGCTTTGGCAATTGGTGAGAGGCTGGGTTCAAATCCAGGTTTCAGCCGGTTGTGATTGAAACGGGTTCTCGGAAGTGGAGGGAGTTGATTGTCCTCAGCTCGGTCATCAATGACGCATTGCATTTTGGTCCCGCAAATAGTATTTTTGTGTGCGTACAAAATGAGAAAGTGCTGCCCTCTATTGTGTCAACCGGAGGCCACTTGAAGGGATACCTGGAGGCAGCTCTGTGATATCAACTTCCGTGGGCCGATCTCGAACAGAAAGCGTTGCAACTGTTCTGCGGGAAATCAGAATGGTTACTCCGTCTCCGAACACGATGCCGACAGTGGAAGGGGGGTAAAATTGTTGCAGGAATTACAGGATGAAAGTGAACCGGTTGATTTAATTGTTGAGCCAGGCTGGGCAAGGACATAATCCACGTTACACCCGGGCAACCAGAGAACACAGACCAGATATTTCTTGACTTATCACTATAACAACAGCATCACGAATTCAAACAAAGAGCAAATATGCAATTGAAATTATCCCAGGTGGCTTGGTGTGCAGGGTTTCACAGGCTCCCATCCTTGCAGCCCATCATGGTCCACTTTTCCATCGTTCACCAAATCTTCTCAATCATACTGCTATTAAAAAATAATTCACACATGCCTCGAGCTTCCTGGCTAGCTGCCCCAACAGTGATTCTGTAGTTAGTGTTTGCGAGCAAGTTCCCACCAAAACTAGCTGGGAATGTGTAGCAAATAAACGTTGATTGAACTTGAAACGGTGGGAGAAATATGGAAGACTTGATACGAATAGACAGCAAAGAGGTGGGAATGACGAATACAGAAGACTTCACGGTGCAGTTATAATTGCTCTCGCTTTTTAATTTGTGCTCCTAGTCATGTAAGTATTTCGCTAGAATGTTTTTTAATTCCTAAAGAATATTTTAAAAAACTCACAGTAAAGATTTTCTTGCCGTTTCATTATTACATAAATTAAGATACATTTTAGGGCTCGACGTACAGGAGGAGGATTGTGAGAAGAGCATGAACATGATGACAGCTGTCCCTTATTTCCGTTGCAGACAGACGGCTTCTCTACTCGTGATGTGTATATATATATATATAATCACGTGGTTACGAGCTGCATGCGCCTGGTGATTGTGAAATACGTGACAAGCCCACCAGTGGCTGTCATTTGGAGAGATGTCAAATTTCTTCTCCCGACTCTCATGTGAACAGTTAACCCACGACCGCACGCTCATATAACAAAAGAAATAGTATAAACTATTTTCATTTAACCAGGTGAGGCTCTCCTGAACTATAGAGCTCTATTTCAGAAGCAACCTAGCCAATGATAGCTCAACAAAGTGGCTTGTCATGTGGAAGTTTATAGCAGCCAAATACTCTAAACGTGTGTCGATTCTAAACGCGGAGGGAAAAACTGGAGAATCCGGAGAAAAATCTATGTGACCACAGGGAGAAAGACATGCAAAAACTCCAAAATCACACTACAGGCGTCGGGGTCGGGACTGAACTCACGACCTTCTACGTACCAGGCGAGGTAGTTGATATCTCGCCACTGTGACACGGGCTAACCCACGTGACATTTGTTCCTCATCGATGGCAAGAATGGAAATTTTTTTTGTGGTCTGTTGCTGTGCGTCACACTCGTACTATATTAGAAAAAAAGTTTTCTGGCTGGATGACCTGGGTGGATTCCTGTCTGGGCTGCGTGCCGTGCCCCCAGGTGCGCGTGCATGAGGGGGCATCGCCCGCGTCCCACAGTGTTGAACCGCGTCTCCCGTGGCATAGTTGGAGAAGGCCCTTCATCCCGCAGTGGATTGACACTTTGCTCTCAATTATTGTCGTATTATATTCGAAAAACTTTGGCTGGCTCGCTGCATGGGATTGATGGACCTCGTGTCCAAAGGGCGTGTGGTCCGCGAGTACTAAAATTAGTTGTCTACGCTCTCAGAGAATCGGGCGTCCAATCACGGGTGGAGAGCAATGTCTGGTCCACGCGCGTGTTGCACGGACCAATGGGACGAGCCGTGGGCACGCAGCAAGCCGAACGGAGCACTCCGATTGGCCGAGAAGATTTCCGTCCGCTCTACTGCACCGCTCCCCACAGGTCCTCGGGGAGGCGTGTGGTTGATGGTTATGCAACAGACTACAGATTGCCTCGCGCTCTGATAACGATGGGAAAATGTAATAAGCAAACAATGAAGGTGATCGTCTCGGGAATTTCCCTGTCTCTGCACACATTCTGAATTCAGTCCCTCTGTTTTCTTCATCATCATCATCATCCTGTTCAATTCAGCTCCGCCAGCCCCGTCATTTGAAAAAAATAAAAAGTCTCCGAACCATTTGTAAATATATCTGTGTGTGTGTGTATTTGCATTCGCGTATTCCAGCCGGCGTGGATCTCAGTGCTTGTAGAGATTGACTTGCACTCGGCTGGGGGTCGACTCAGCCTGCCATTGTCTCTCACATGTGTTGGTGAAATCGGTACCTCTTCTTCGTAGGAAGCCGATGAAAACGCATTATTTTTTTAGGACTGCTTTTGTGTTAGTTCGTTGTTGTCCCCCACCCACCCACCCCCCCACACTTACAATTAGCACAGTTGGCTACGTGCGGTGCGAAAGAAGTCCAACATGCATGCATGTGAAACAGTCCTCCGGATTGCAACCGACATCGGAAGCTCAGCAGGTTGTGAGCCTGGTCAGGGAACCGCCAGCACAACGCTGTTGAGCTATGTGCTGTGGAACTTCGTGCAAATAAATACATCAAGTGCTGTACTCTACTCCTACGCTGCACCCAGATATGCTCCTTCCCGCTCCTTCGCCAACCTGTGCCGAGCAGCGTGGTGAAGTATGGTCTAAACAACTCCCCCGTGAGTCGCACGGTGTGTGGGGAAGGGAGGCCCCCTCGCTCGGTGCTGGGTTAATGAAGGGCTGGACGTGCACATGTGGGAAGTCAAAAGTGTCAATTTCTGGGATTAACTGGCGGCCCAGCCTTAGAAATGTGTCAATTGCCACCACTCTGCACATGGAGATGAGTTTCGCCTCAATGCTATTTTAAACCTTGGAATTGTTTTTCAAATAAGAACGGATGATAGTAACAATAAACATTTAAAAAGATTACATTTTCCCCAGAGCAGGGCAACGCTGTGTTGGTTCCACCTGCGAGAGCTAAGCATCACAGTTCTTACTTTAGCCAGGTAAGGATTAAGATCCGTTGAGACAGCATCTCTTTATTAGAGGCGAAGGATTGGTTTTCCATGTGTTGCATGATTTAATGTCGTGTTCAAAATGATGATCAGTTTTACTTCCTGCGATGTTCAGTACACATGAAAATGATTCTGTTTGCATAAGACACGGATGTCTCTTGAACAGATACTGAATTAGAAAATGTATTAATCTTGGAAGATACACTATTTATATAAAACACATACATATGCAGGTTGCCTATGTAGCCATATAGACCAGTGGGAGCAAGTGCCTTAGCAGGCACCTCATCAAGACAAAAGTCCACATTAGAGTGGTGTGGCCAGCACCACGCCTGGCCACTTTTATCTCCTGGCTGCTGATGTTAGCACACTGCACCAGGTACCCATTTAAGGCCGAGTCAACCTCGGGGCTGCCTCGGACTGGTTCAGATATCACTCAAACTGATATTGGCATCAGCCAGGAATCAAACTCTGGGGACCACGCTTTGTAGCACTGTGCGCTATCCACCGTACCACCCTTCCCCAAATATTCTCAGGTTTTTTATTTAATTTTACTTTTATTAATTAAATTTTTTACCTACGTGACTTTACCACAAAAACCTAAGAATATGAATCCTTGCAGTCACGAAAGCTTCAAATCTTCCCGAAATACTTGCTGTGTAGCCATTAACAAAGTGCAGGGGTGCGTGCCGTTAGCGAGCACCTATCAAGGCCGGCACGGCGCGAGAGGTGTGGCTAACACCGTGCCCTGCTGGCTTTGTCCCACTGGTGCTAATGTCAACCTCGAGGAGGCCCAGCCAGGAGCCGTCCCGACATCGCTTGCCACCTACATTGGCCATGGCTGGGAATCGAACCCTGTGTCGCCAGGTTCATTCATGCATTCATTTGCTCTGTGATCACACACACACACGCGCACAAAATGTTGGAAATCTCTGCTACATTGGAGCCTTAATCTGGCACTGCAAATCAGGGGTAAGTAAATTAGGCTACATGCCGGGGGAGATGGGCAGGAAGGATAAGGAGCAAGCGGTTTACAACGTGCGCCTAATGAGAGGCTGGATTGAATTGTACAGTGCTCTTGTAAACACTAATTACGCCTTCTCTTCCCGCCCACCCAAACACCCACAGAGACTCCGACTCCATGCATCAGTTCTGCTGCGCAAAGCCAAGCGCTTCGGACGCCTTAAACAGGTGAACACACCCCCCCCCCCCCCCACTTTGCCCCCCGAATCCTCCGCCATCTGCCTCCCCTGCTCCTGTGACCTGTACGAACACCCCCTATCTGCCGCCAAGTGGCAGGGATGCCACCACGTCGCCCATGCCAGGCCAGGTGCACTTTGAGGCCACGTCTAGTGCCGAAGGCTCCGCTGACCGGGGAGGGTCACGGTGGGAGAGACCGACCCCGGCAGGTGTCACGGGTTGACCGACCGTGATGACTGGCAGATGCACCACCCGTGCCCTCCCCCCCCACTACTGTGACAAAACTCGCTGCGTTGTAGCCGCCAAGCGCCTGTGAAACCGCCGTTGCCACCGCCGGCAAACACGGAGAGCCACTGGCCGCCAATCGCTCCCTTAATTTCTGGCGATGTTTCGGCCGCACGTTCATCGGTGTGTGGGGGGGGGGGGGGGGGGGGGTGCCCCCAGGTGTGGGGGAGCAGCCGGGCCAGCTCTGCCTGCCTCTGCGTTGCCGCAGCGCTGCCGGAGCGCTGCTGGTAACGTTCCGCGTGCCGGAGCCGGACCTGTGCGCGGTTGCACGCGCACGCCTTTGATCTGGCGTTTTGGGGGGTGGAGGGGTGGAATAAAAAATCCTTTCGTGCTCATCTGACGAGAGACACCTCCATTCGCCGCTCCTTTCCAAAAGCTCGCCTCATTATCTTCCACAGAATTGTCCAGGGCCTCAGTTTGTGCAGTGCCCCCTCCCCCTTTCATTTGTGATCACACAGAATACATCCAATTCATGTCAAGGAAACGGCCTATTCACACACCATCTTGAGAGGGATTAACTACTTCCACTTTACCCCTACACTCATCATCATCATCATACCAACTACAAGGTCTACAAAGTGACCGGCTAGCCATCGCCCACGCACAGAGACGGAGTGCCGCTCGACTTTGGGTGGGTGTGTGGGGGGGGGGGGAGGCGGGAGGGGGACGACGACACGGTTTTTGGATGATGTCATTTGAACGAAAAATTTAATTTCCGCCTCCTGCAATTCGCAGCGTTCGTGAGCGTTATCACGAACGGAACGGCGTAGAAAACCACACGAGCAGGTGGCCGGGCTCAGTATCGGCGCAAATACCAATGCCCCCCCCTCCCCCAGCTGCCCGCTTACCCCCCCCCCCTACCCTGCACTTACTTCCTCTCGGGGTAAAACCATCAACGCCATCGCACATTCACTTCCCTGTTCCTTCGCGGCGGAAACTGCACCCCTCGGTGTTGCCGCTGCCACCGCGTCCACCCCCCCCCCCCCCCGTGGTAAACTCACTCGGCGACGCCGCTGCTGCTGCCACGTGCGCAAGCGGGGTGGAGGGGGGGCCTTTGTGAGCCGATGGGACGTTCAGGGAACTCCATTTACCGCTGGATCCTTGTTTCGCTCTGCACTTCTCGGTTGTCCTTCCCCACCCACCACTTGCATCCCACTGGGATTTTTGCACACAGCGTTGGTGTACGGTGTTTTTTTCTGCAATATTTTGCTGTCTTTTCTTGGATTTTCTGTTTGCACTTAGTCACATATTCACTTTAAGATGTTTTTTTTTCATGTTTTAGTTTTTTGTTTGTTGCGGTTGCATCCGATTCAAGAGCCGAATGGCTCACAGGGCTATACCTAATACCTGAACTTGAACTCCGATTTAGCGCGGTTGGCCATGTACGGTGCGAAAGAAGTTGAGCGTACTGTACATAGTGCATTGTGTCTCTCCTTGTCTGCACGAATCCCCGAAATGGCTCTCGGGACTCGACTGTTTTTTCAGCTCGAAGCGTGCGGTTGGAGCGTCTCGCCTCAATAAGCGGAATGTTGCAGTTTAAAACATTGGCTGGGGTTGTGGGGGTAGACTCTGCCCATCATCATCATTGGTGATGATCATCACTCCGTCCATCATCAATCATCATCCGTCTGAGGTTGATAATCTAAGTGCCATGTAGTGTGGAAATCGGCATTGAGATTGTCTGTGGCGTCTTCCCAGCGTGGAGTCGGTGAAGCAATTCCTGAATAGATTTTTTATTTATTCCTAAGCTCCCTGTACGTGCAATCTATACTCTTTGGTTCTTTCGGTAAAGTCACGTGGGTATAACATAATTTAAATTAACATGCAATATAATTGTGCGTATAAGAATTGAGCGATAGTGGCTATGACCACGCCGGTTGGTGGATTGCAGAATTGTCGTGAAACTCGTCCCATGGGTGTAGACGTTCCGATCATACCGTGGATTGCTAGGGTATGGGAGTAAAACAAGTGGATTCATCTCCATCTGTTTCCATTCGCACGGGGGATTGAGTGTTGCCCCCTCACGCGCGCACGTGAGTTTTCTCCAGGTTTCTCCCACATGCATAAAAACTCGTGGATTGATTGAAAAAATATATTATTGTTAAAATATTAAACGTGCAATTAGCACCAAGCACCTATCATTTGTGCATTGATTTAATAAATTAAGTCAATGTATCTTAATTATCCAGCAAGTGTTGGACATTCCTCATCTCTGTTATGGGCTTCGAGTCTGTAATGGCAGCAATTCCACATTCCTATGATGGGGAACAGAATTTCCAGAACATTGGCTTAAATTTCCAAATCAACTTTACGATTGATTATAATTATAGTGCTGCAGTGTTGCGTTTTAATAATTTATAATGCAGTGTGTACTGTACAGCAGTCCCTCTGTAAACTTCTTTAATCCGTTCCACGAAAACAACTGTGAAACGAAATAACTGTCAATCGAATATCGGAATTACATGCATCACGTAAACATTACCGTTAATCAACATTGTAACGTCAGTCGAAGCCATGGGGTCCTATGGGAGGCGAAACGCTCACTGAAAACCCGTTAATCGAGCTCACTGTTCACCGAGAGACTGCTGTAGATATGTTTTTGAAGGGAGGGGTGAAGATTTAGTTTCCATAACCGATAGGAAAACATGCAATTAGCACCAAGCACCTATGATTTGTGCAAATTAATTCTGAGCTTTCTCCTGCGGGGCATATTAATCGTAAGTGCGCACCTTCTGCGTCAGAGTGCACGTTAAAGAGATCCTGTTGCGTTATTCAAAAAAGGAAGGAGTGGGCCAATGTCTGCTGCCATCGCTGGGCAAATTTGCCAAATTAGGAACGTTAAATTATTTTGGGTAAAAATCACAAAGCAAACTATTACACTTAATAGGACCCTCCCTGGAAAATCCTTGGGGTTCAGTGAGGCCTTCCTGGGTAAGTAAATGTTATTTTGATGACAGTCGTATGAAATAAATAACGCCACACATTAGTCCTCTATTGCACCGCACTGCCGTTACAAATCCCACGAAGTTGAATTTTTTTGCTGCTTTAGACGGTGGCATGCGGTGTCTACCAACCCGCATCGTACAGAGAAACGCTCGCATGGATCTCAACTATCGGCCAGAAAGAATTAAAATAGACCCCACTTTCCACCCCTCATCCTGTCTTGCCCCCCCCCCTCCACCCCCCTCGCCCCGCCCGACCTCCCGTTATCCACTGCACCATGCCTGTCCTCAGATCTTGGGCTGGAGATTTCCTCCCGGCCGCCGACAAACCACACGGTGCGGTGTGGGCCTGGTCTGTGCCACGCTTTATCCAGCGGGGCCCTCACGTTGCGATTGTGCGCAGCCACGACTCCGGAGGTCGTGGTCTCACCTGAGCACGTGCTTGCGTCCGACCTCCTCCTCAAACACGCGGCCGTCAAGAATTGCGCTGCTTTATCACAGTGCGCGTGTGTGTGTGCGCACGTGTTGAGCCTCTTTCGCACCGTACGTAGCCAAGCGCTGCTAATCGGAGGTGCGGGGGAAGGACAACAAACTAAACTCGGAAAAAGAAGTCCGAGATAAATGGGGTTTCACTCTAGATTTCAAAGTGCATATCTCCAGCACCACTCGCATCAGCCCGGCTAGAAATTCCACGTCCCCATGACAGGGGTCCAGTTAATCCGTGGCACGAACATTTTATTTTTGTTCGCAAAGCGGTTCTGATTTTATAGACCTCGGATGGTAGCAGATGCTGATTGGGCTGAGTTGCCAACCCACTGGGATTTGAACTCGGACTAGATTGCGTATTGAGCGATCTAAGCACAGGACCACACAGCCACTTACGTACAAGCGAATCGTGGCTGGCGTGTCGGCATGGGTCTGCCAGATCTGAGTTTTTGAACTCATTAGGTGGCGATGACTAGATTGCGTCATACAGGCTCTCCTTGACGTACGCGATTGATGCATTCGTGGAAAAACACGCGTGTCTCAACATTGCGTTACGTCAAAAGCAATGTTCCCATAATAAATAATGGTAAAGGGGAGGGGGTTAGGGGATTTCGCTGCACTCGCAGACATAATCGCCTATATTATCCTCGCCTAAATCAACACAATACGTGTACACACAATATAATACTTTAAATGAAAAATAAAATAACGTGAAAACGAATATACTTTCTTTGAAATAAAAACGAAACTCAAGAAATACATTATTACTAGTAAGTAAATATACAAGGAAACTTGACAGCGTACGATCACAACAAGAGACGCGAGACAAAGGGAAGAGCGCCGCTGTACGGTAAAGCACGCGCTAGTTATCGTACCGCACTGGCTGCCGGCAACGCCGTTGGGTCGCGGTGCCAGGCTAGGGTGGCGTGCGTCGCGTCGCGGGTCACCTCATTCCGAAAAAGGGGTCTAAAATACAAAGCACGCCGCGTTATTCCAAAATGGCGCACGGCAAAGGCGCGTAAACCGAGGATTGCCAGTACTCGTAAACTGCGCCCCTCAAGAGTGCAAGCGCCCATTGGCAATTTACAACGGAGCCTGATTGCAGTTGCGTCTGAAGACGCTGCACAGAAACGCTGTGCGCGTGGTTGTGTTTTTTCTTTGGAAGAGAGAGAAAGAGAGAGAGCCAGACGGTTTTTCGCCAGTGGGGCAAAGTTAATGAAGAAGCCTTGAGCCGGGGCTTGAGCAGAGGCAGATAATGAGAATGGCACGGATGGCCAC